AAACCCACAACTATGTGGAAATAGAACAATAAACGTTTAATCCACCAATTAGTGAATGAAAGAAATCAAAGGGAATTTAGAAAATATTTGAAGACAAATAAAAACGAGCACACAACATGCCAGATCTTATGAGATGCAACAAAAGAAGTACTAAGAGAAAAATGGGTAGCAGTGAAAGTTTACATTAAAAAGGAAGCAGGATCTCAAATACCACCTCACCTTATAACTCAAGGAACTAAAGGAAAAAAGAAAAAAAACCACAGTCTGCAGAAAGAAGAAAACTACAGAGATAGAGCAGAAATAAATGAAATTTGAAAAAAGAATAGTAGAAAAAAACAAAACCAAGAACAGATTTTGTTGAAAAGATCAACAAAATTGGCAAACCATTAGCTAGGCTAATGCAGAAAAGGAGAAGGCTCAAGTATCAAAATTAGAGATGAAATAAAACATTGCAATTCATGTCAACATAAAGAAAAAGAATGATAAGAAACTACTATGAACAATTATATGTTAACAAATTAAATAACCTTAGAAATGGATAAATTCTAGAAACATACAGCTTACCAAAGATGAGTCACAAAGAAAGAAAAGATGTAAACAAGCCTACATCTTTTTTTTAATTTATTTTTTATTGATTATGCTGTTACAGTTGTTCTATTCCCCCCCTTCATTCCCCTCCACCCTACCCCCCCGTCCCCACCATTACCCCCCCCCTTTAGTTTATGACCCTGTGTCTCAAGTTCTTTAGATTCTATATTTCCCATACTATTCTTGCCCAGGAGATTGAAGCAGTAATCCAAAATTTGCCAACAAATGAAAAGCTCAGGACTAGATTGCTTCACTGGAGAATTCCATCACACATTTAAATTAACACCAACCCTTCTGAAACTCTTCCAAAGAACTGAAGAGGAAGAGTCACTTCTAAACTGTTTCTTTGGGCCACCATTGCCTTCATACTAAAACCAGACAAAACACAAGAAAACTACAGAACAATATCCCTGATGAATAGTAATACTAAAGTTGTAAATAAAATGCTAGCCAAAAAAATTTAATAGCATATTAAAGTAATATTTGATGGCCAGGTGGGGTTTATACCTGGACAAAAGGATGGTCCAACATATCAAAACCAACCAATATAATACACCTCATTAACAAAACGAAGGATAAAAACATGGTTATCTCAATACCTGCAGAAAAGGCATTTTACAAAATTTAACACTTTCATGATAGAAACACTCAGTAGACTAGGAATAGAAGTAAACTACTGCAACACAATAAATTCATATATAAAAACTGCACAGTTAACACCATACTCATTAGGAGAAACTTGCCCTTTAAGATCAAGAATAAGTGGGCAGGGATGATCACTTGTACCATTACTATTCAACATAGTACTGAAAATTCTAGCCAGAGCAATTAGACATAAAAGAGAAATAAAAGAAATACAGTTGGAAAAAAATTAAAATAATCTCTGCTTGAAGATGATATGGTCTTGTACATAAAAAATCTTAAAGTAGCCACCAAAGAAACTATTAGACCTAGTAAATGAATTCGTCAAAGTTGCATATTATAAAATCTACATCAGAACCCAGATGTGTTTCTATATATTAACAATGAACAATATAAAATGGAAATTATGAATATAATCTCATTTACTGTAGCATCAAAAAGGATAAAAGGCTTAGGAATAAACTTAACCAAGGAGGTGAAAGGCTTATACATTGAAAACTATAATACATTGCTAAAAGAAATCAAAGAAGATGTTTTTTCAATCAACAAGCATTTATTTATATTCTCCCCTATCCCTTGATCAGTAGAGAAGCCATAAGAGTTACATAAATAGAATAGCATACAGCACTTTATAAAACTAGTGTGATTAGAAAGCCTGTATTTACATGTTTTGATGTTCACATAAATGTGAGGGGTCATAAGATGATTATGCTATTCCGAGCAGAGTCAGCCACTTTTTAAAACACTTTGTAACAGGCACTGATTTTATATAAACATCCTTGACTCTAGGCTTTTAAACAATTTATTTTTCAATTACAATTTACATTTAATATTATTTTGTATTAGTTTCACATGGAGAGCATTGTGGCTAGGCAATCATATACTTTACAAAGTGTTCTCCCAATATATTCAGTAAACACCTGGTACCATACATATTATAGTTATTACAATATTGTTGACTACATTCCCCATGCTGTAACGTAATGTCTATCCCCATGACTGTTCATAACAACCTATTTGTGTTTCTTAATCCCTTCACATTTTTCACAGGGTCTCCTAAACGTCCTCCCTTCTGGCAATCATAAGTCTGTTCTCTGTATCTATGAGTCTTTCAATATTGTTTGTTTACTTTGTTCTTTCAATTTCACGTGTTAGAGAAGTCCTATGGCGTTTGTCTCTCTCTGACTGACTTATTTTACTTAGCACGTTCCGTAGGCCCTCCAAGCTGTTGCAAATGGTAAGATTTCATCATTCTATGGCTGAGTAGTATTCCACTGTGCATACATGCCACAGCTGTTTTGATCCACTTGTCTATAGATGGTCACTTGGGTTGCTTTCATATTTTGGCTATTGTAAATAATGCTGCAATAAACACAGGGGTGCATACACTCTTTCAAATGAGAGTTCTAGGTTTTTTTTTTTTTTTTTTTTTCAGATAAATAGCCAGAAGTGGAATTGCTGGGTCATAAGGCAGCTCCACTTTTAAATTTTTGAGGACCCTACATAATACTCTCCATATTGGCTCCCCCATTCTGCATTCCCACCAACAGTACAGGAAGGTCCCTTTTTCTTCACATTGTCACCAACACTTATTTGTTCATTTATTGATGACAGCCATTCAGACAGGATGAGGGGACTTCTCATTGTGGATTTCATTTGCACTTCTCAGACGACTAGTGTGACTTTGAGCAGCTTTTCAGGTATCTAGTGACCATCCGTATGTCTCCTTTGGAGAAATGTTCGTTCAGTTCTTCTTCCCATTTTTAGACTGGATGGTTTGTTTTTTCAGTGTTCAGTTGTATGGGTTCTTTATAAATTTGGATATTAACCCTTTATCGGATGTGTCACTCGATGAATATCTTCACCCATTCAGCAGGTTACCCCTTCGTTTTGTTTATGGTTTCCTTTGATGTATGAAGCCTTCGAGTTTGACGTAGTGCCATCTGTTCATTTTTGCTTATCGACCTTTCCTGAGGAGGCGTGTCAGGAAAACCGTGAGTGAGAGACATGTCAGAGATTTTACAGCCTGTATTTTCTTCTAGGAGTTTTATGGTTTCAGGTCTTGCATTTAAGTCTTTAAACCATTTGAATTTATTCTTGTATATGATATAAGATGGTGATCTAGTTTCATTTTATTGCATTTTTCTGTCCACTTCCCAAACCATTTATTGAATAGACTGTTTTTATCCCCATTGTATGTTCTTGCCTTATTTTTCACAGATTAATCGATCATATAGGCATGACTTTATTTCTGGGCTCTTGATTAATTTATATTGATTTATCTTATCAGGTTTTTATGCCAGAACCATCTGCTTTATTACTATGACTATGTAGCACAGTTTGATAACAAGTATGAACATTGTTTTTAATTCTTGCCTCTTTCATGATGGAGAATCCATTCAATCACAGATTATGGCACAGTCTACGTTCCTTCATACTTTTTGAAACTGCCCATTTATGTCCTTCCCCAGAGAGATGACAGAGGTGACTGGTACAGCCTCTGGGGTGGACCTGGCTGAATGAGTGTATGTGTCACAGACATCACCATCTGAGCCAAAGACAGTCTCAGTTTCCTCATGTGAGAAATCGGAATGATGACGGTAGGGTCACCATTCTCTGCAAAGTAGGGCTATTGGGAGGAATTCATGGGCTGATTCCTGCAAAGAGCCTACAACGGTGCCTGGCACACAGTAAGCCTTCCACAATCGTGTGTTTCTCAGTAGCCCCAATGCTGTTATTTCTGACCCATGGAAAACATCACTTGTCTGGGTTATTACAAGAGCACCTTAACTAGTCTTCCTGATTCAAGCTTCATCCTTTGTTAACCTTTCTCTAGAATGCAGGCAGAATGAATTCCCCAAGAACTAACCTGAAAATGTTCTTCTTGTGACAGAATCCCTCCAACAGACCTTATGACCTTGGGATTTCTCTTTTCCATGAACATGTGCCTCCACTGTCCCAGCTGGGGTCTTCAACAGACTTCGGGGTCTCCTTTCTCACCCATCACCCACACCACAAATAACTCATTGCCTTTCTCTGACACTTCCTGGGGTCTGTGCTTTCTCGAGTGCCAGTCTCTCCCTAGATCCTCCCACCAGTGCACAAACACACCAATGAATCACACTGAACCCTGGTACCCCAAGGACGCACAGCAAAAAGAATGACCTGGCATAATGAAGCCCCCTGGGAAACCTTCTCTGGCCTGAAGCCGGGGCTTCCAGGGCTGGGGGTGGAGGTGCAGTACCTACACTGATGTTCTCAGGCTCTGGTGCTACCCTGGCAGGCTCCGGGCTCCTGCCCTTTGCTGCAAGCGAGCCCATTGGGAAACTGCGAGTGGCGGGGTGCCTATGTGGGCCCAGGGCACCCCGTCCTTATCAGACAGCCGAATCCAGCCTGTGGAAAACATGAGGGGTGCCCTGGGTCCGGCAGAAACAGACTGCAGGGCACAGGACAAAGTGAGCCTTAACAAGTTCTCTTTCCTTCCTCCTGTTTCTCTGTCCCTTCCCCTTTTCTCCCTGCCTGCCACCCTCATTTCTCTTTTATTCTCGCGCACCTTTCTGGCGTTTCTTCCACGTGCGCCCAACGGCACCGCCCCGCCCAGAAAACGACCTAGCGGCTTGGACAGGACATGCGCCCTGACCCATCAACCTAGACCAAGGCCAGCGCTCCCACACAGCCTGCTCGCCCGGCCAGGCCCTTCGCGCTCCCGCGCCTCTAGCGACCGCCCCTGGAAGTGCAGGGGCTGCCTCACCGGGGAGCAGAGCTGTGCCATGAGGCCAGTGAGGACTGTCCTCTCCCGAGGCCATTTGCTCCTCGTGCTGGTCCTGGCGGTGCTCCTGCTTGATGACACCTATGGCGAGGATTTGATTTTTCACCCGGAGTGGGAGTTTGACTCCTATGAAATCACCATCCCCAAGAAACTGAGCTTCCGGGGAGGGGAGCAGGCTGTGGCCAACCACGTGTCCTACCTCCTGCAGGTAAAAGGCGAGAAGCATGTCCTTCACCTGTGGCCCAAGAGGTTTCTGTTGCCCCGACATCTGCCGGTTTTCTCCTACACAGACGAGGGGGAGCTCCTGGAAGACTACCCTTACATACCCAGGGACTGCAACTACGTGGGCTTCATAGAAGGACTGGAGGATTCTGAAGCTACTGTCAGTACATGCACCGGGAGGCTCCGGGGCGTATTGAAGATTGATGCCGAACATTACCAGATCGAGCCCCTTAAGGCCTCCTCCACTTTTGAACACGTGGTATACCTTCTGAAGAACGAGGAGGAATTTCAAGATCAGATCTGTGGCGTAACTGAAGAGGAAATCGAAAAGCAGATGAAGCAGCCTGAGAACATGGTGAGCATGAGGAGTTTTATTCGACCTTCTGTGCACCAAAAGTACCTGGAATTAGCCCTGATCTTTGATCGTGAGAGATATTTGTATTCAAAGTCCAATATTACTTTAGTCACAAATGATGCCCTTCTCCTGACTTCGATTATGGACACTTACTTTCAGGAACTCAATGTGAGAATACAACTGAGCTCACTTGAAGTATGGTCAGATAAAGACAAAGTAAATATTGCTTATTCAACATTACAGGAAGCTTTAGGCCAATTTTTGATATACCAAAGAAATGTACTAAGTCGTAATATTAACATCGATTGGTCTCAACTCTACGTTAAAAGACGTTACAGAGATGCCCTGGCGTGGTCCTGGGGGAAAGTGTGTACTCAGACATATGCCGGGTCTATAAGTGTTTTTTTAGATGATTCTGTCCTTGGACCTGCCACCTGGGGTGCTCACAACCTGGGCCATAGTATGGGGATGGTACATGACGACAAATCCTGCAGATGTAAGGGTCGGCGTAGTTGCATCATGGGAACTGGCCGAAATGGGTTTAGTAATTGTAGTGTTGTCCAGTTCTTTAACCACGTACGTAGAGAAGCAAACTGTCTCAATAATATCCCAAAACAACAATTTGTGTTTAAGAGATGTGGCAACAAAATTGTGGAAGACGATGAGGAATGTGACTGTGGTTCGTTAGAGGACTGTGAAAGAGACCACTGTTGTGAACCAGGCTGTAAATTCAAAGACGGTGCCAACTGCAGCACTGGGCTTTGCTGTCATAACTGTCAGTTTCGTCCTTCTGGGTACGTGTGTCGGAAGGAAGAAAATGAATGTGACCTTGCAGAATACTGCAATGGGGCCTCAGGTGTCTGCCCAACTGACATGTATAAGCAGGATGGAACCCCGTGCAAGTACGAAGCCCGTTGTTTCAGGAAGGGCTGTCGATCCACATACATGCAGTGCCAAAGCATTTTTGGACCAGATGCCAGGGAGGCTCCTATCCAGTGCTATGAAGCAGTAAATTTAATAGGCGATCAATATGGGAACTGTGGCCTATTGAAAACTGGCTCCTATAAAAAATGTACCAAGAGACATGCAATATGTGGCAGGGTACAGTGTATAAATGTCAGAACCCTCCCTGATATGCCAGATCTTACTAATGTAATTTCTACTCATCTCAAGGATGAAAAGCTCATGTGCTGGGGCACAGGCTACCATCAGTCCTTGATACCCACGGGGATTCCTGACGTGGGTGCAGTGTATGATGGGACCTCCTGTGGAACGGGCCGGGTATGTTTGAACACAACTTGTATAAACAGTTCAGTGCTGGATTTTGACTGTCTACCTGAGAAGTGCAACCACAGAGGCTTTTGCAACAACAATAAGAACTGCCACTGCAGGTACGGCTGGGCGCCACCCTTCTGCGAGGACGCCGGGTTTGGAGGGAGCGTGGACAGCGGGCCGCCGGGGATGCTGCAGCTGGAGGTGTTCGACCCCATCCAGATCGTGTCCCTTATGTCACTGCGCCTTGTTTTGTTATTCATCTCAGTGATTATTGTGCTTTTTAGACAACCTATAGGAAATTACTTAAAACCCGAACAAAATGAAACACCACCGAGTAACACTGGAGTTCAGGAAACACCACTGAGTAACACTGGAGTTCAGGAAATACCACCGAGCAACACTGGAGTTCAGAAAACACCACCGAGTAACACTGGAGTTAAGAAAACGCCACTGCCTAAAACTAAGGTTGAAACACCCAAGGCAAAAAATATTAAAACTACCAAAAAGAAATCAGGAAATACATAATCACTCCATAACACAGGATTATAGACCGAACAAGCTTATCATTTATCCAAATGGCTCTTCATTCTTTTCCCAGCTCCTTTTTTTAACTTAATCTCTCATCATGATTGATCAGCAAATAAATGATATTCTTGTTTGGGAAAAAAAAAAAAAACCAGTGCCTTTTACTTTCCTAGCATTTCCTTGCCCCTTAGCTTGCGATAAGGTTTGCGCGTCCTGAGAAGAATGCCCTGATGGCTTTTCTGACACTAAAGCTCGGGATGTTGTGAGTGCCGTAGCATTACAGTGGCTTTCAGAGCGGACTCCTGTCTCTCAGAATCCCGCCAAAGGAAGGATTAATCTGCCTTTCTCTCTACCTCCCTCCATGTGACCAGTGAGATGTCTGTGCCTGTGTCCCATGCTGTATGCTAAATGGTGACTTCACATTTTGTAAACTTTACAAGGGGTGTCCCTCAGATAAGCATTCCCCCTGTGCAATCGCCCTATGGATGTGTGGTCTCAGACTCAGTGTTTGGGGTGACCTTAGTTGGTTTAAGGCACCTCAGTCTGTAAATGACAACAAGCCCACCAGTGTCCCAGGGGCAAGGATCTAAGGATGTTCTGTGCTCTGGGATTCTGCTCCCAGGGACAGGTCTTGTGTGCCTGTGTGCCAAGGGACAGTGGCTCTAGGTTTGCCACACCCCTGAGTAGAGCAGAGGAGAGGGAGGAGCGCCTTCCACTGCCCAGTACCCCCAAGTCTGCCAGCAGAAATTCTCTCCCCTTTGTGCCGTGCTTTGGGGGCAGGAGAGGAGGGCTGAGTGGCCTGCCAGGAGTCAGGCTCCACCCCTGCTGCCCAGGGAGGGGCTCATCCTCCCCAGACCTTGCAGCCCCACAGTTTTCAGTCTTGCTCTGGTCTGAGCCTTCCTGCTGTTCTCTCACCCTGCCCCAGACCCCTCCTTCCCCAAGCCCTGCCACAGGCCCACTGTCCCCCACCCCAATGTCTTCTTTTCTTGATTTCTTTCTAAAGATCGTATTTATTTTTAGAGAGAAGGGAAGGGAGAGAGAAAGAGGGTGAGAAACATCAATGTGTGGTTGCCCCTTGTGCACCTCCTACTGGGGACCTGGCCCACAACCCAGGCATGTGCCTTGACTGGGCATCAAACCGATGACCCTTTGGTTCTCGGTCCAGTGCTGAATCCACTGAGCCGCACCAGCCAGGGCCAATGTCCTCTTTTCTTAGCCACATCATTTTTCTAATTACAGAAGCAGTTGGAGATGCCTCACAATAGTGGTACCCCCAGACTATTTGGGGACTCTGTTCATTCAGAGTCCTCTGAGTCCTCAAGATAACCTCTATTTTCTGGTTATGAAGCTTGGTCATCACTAGAAAATGTCCTTATAAAGCAAGGACGTTGACTTACAGCTGCAGTGCTGATGAAGATGACGGAGTTTGCTGTTAACCTGGCAACGGTCTGAGTGTCTCACGTGTATTCTCGTCACACTCCTAAAAGTCACTCTCTGAGGTAGGTGTGATGATTGTCCTGTTTTCCAAAAGAGACGTTGAGGCACAATGGGGTTAAAAATCTGCTTGAGATTATGTACTTTATAAGTAATGACATTATTCAAGGAAACATTATATCTTCAATAGATATTAGGGAAGTGAACTTAGAAAGAGGATGTATTTAAAAGCTGTAAGGATATTGATCCATTGGGAAATGTTTTTATGAAAATTTTATTTTTTTAAGTTCAAATTAAAATATCAAAGTTTATTGATTTCATCTTTGTTTTAAAATTTTTAATTATATTTTATTGATTATGCCATTACAGTTGTCCTGGTTTTTCCCACATTGCCCCCCTCCACCCAGCATGCCTCACTTCTCTCAGGCAGTCCCCCCACCATTGTTCATGTCCAGGGGTCATGCATATAAGTTCTATTGCTATCTGTGGCTACTCTATTTCCTATACTGTACTTTACATCCCCATGACTATTCTGCAACTACCTATTTATATTTCTTAATCCCCTCACCATTCATACACTCTCCCCCTCCCCTGCCACCTGGCAACCTTCCAGAAACTAGCTTCTTTTCTCTTGTTTTTAAGTCTCTCTTTATCTTAGCTTTTGGCATTTTAATTATGATGTGTCTTGGAGTGGGCCTCTTTGCATCCATCATAATTGGGACTCTCTGTGCTTCCTGGACTTGCATGTCTATTTCCTCCACCAAATTCAGGAAGTTTTCTTTGACTATTTTTTCAGATAGAGTTCCAATTTCTTGCTCTTGCTCTTGCTCTTCTCCTTCTGGCAGTTCTGTGAGGTGAATGTTGGACCTTTTAAAACTGTCTCAGAGGTTGTTATACTATCCTCATTTGGGGGAGGGATTTTTTTCTTCTTGTTGTTCTGCATAGTTGTTTTTGGTTCCTTATGTTCCAAATCATGGATCTGATTCTTGGCTTCATATACTCTACTGCTGTTTCCATGTGAATTGTTCTTTATTTCAATTAGTGTATCCTTCATTTCTGACTGAATCTTTTTTGCGCTGTTGAGGTCCTCACCAAGTCCCTTGAGCATCCTTATAACCAACATTTTGAACTCTGCGTTTGATGTATTGCTTATCTCCATTTCATTTAGCTCTTTTTGTCTGGAATTTTGATTTGTTCTTTCATTTGGGCCACGTTTCTTTGCCTCCTCACTTTGGCAGCCTCCTCGTGTTTGTTTCTATGTATTAGGTAGAGCTGCTGTGACTCCCTGGCTTGGTAGTGTGGCCGAATGTAATAGGTGTCCTGTAGGGTCCAGTGGCACAGCCTTCCTATCATCCAAGCTTGGTACTTGAGGTGCACCCTTCATATGGGCTGAGTACACCATCCTCTTGTACTTGAGCCTTGGTTGCTGTTGGTGGGTCAGTGGGAGTGATTTACCCAGGCCAGTCAGCTGCAAGGGGACCATCAACCTCTACCCTCTGTGAAGGATCAGCTGAGCAGGGGCAGGGTGGTCATGCTCCATTGTGATCTGTAGCTGTCCACTGGGTATGTTGGCCCTGGGCTTTCCCAGGTGGTGCAGGCCAAGGTCAGCCCCCACCTGTGTTTGGCCCAGGGCACCCTGCCAGAGCTGTAAAACAATCTGAGATGGCTGCCACTTGTGCTGGGCTTGGAGATTCCCAGATGAAACCAAGCTGTGACTCTAATCTGGGTGCTGCTGGAGCTGATCGAAGCCAGCCATTGTTGTTTGATAGGGTTTGGGACCCCAGACCAACCATTCTTATGTAAAAGCAGCTTGGGTGGGCCTGTAAGTTGGGTGGTGTAGAGTTTCTGCGGATTTCCAAGGTGGGTCACAGTGTTAGACAGATTGATGGACTCTCAGATATGGCACTAGCCTACTGGCTCTGTGTGGAAAGGGCTCAGCCAAGGGACAATGGCCTCTGTTTACCCAAATGCCAGACACTTCAGTCTCTCCCTATATACCACTAGTATCCTTCAAACTGCCACCTTGGTGCTGGAGCTCAGAGGATATGAGTCTTAGTGAGTCTGTGTGTGGGCTCCCAAGAGGAACTGCTTAGGGCTCCAGCAGCCTCCTCCACTGACTCCATCCCCACTGGTTTTTGCAGCCAGAGGTTGTGGGAACTTATCTTCCTGGCCCTGGAATCCTGTGCTGGAGGGCTCGGTGTGGGTCTGGGACATATCACTCCTGAGATATTGCTTCCACATCCACTGGGGTGTGGAACCAGCCCATTTGGCTCCTCTGCTCCTCCTACCAGTCTGGATGGATGCGGTTTCTTCAGTTCCATAGTCATCGAGCTTCCATTCAACTTGATCTCTGATATTCCTGAGGGATGGTTGCCCTATATTTTAGTTGTAATTCTGGTGTAGTTGTACAAAGAGGCAACCCATGTCTGCCTTTGTCACCATCTTGACAGAAGCTGGAAGTTTAAATGTGATAAAGTGTTCCTAATATTTACCACCTTACCCACTTTTTCTTCTATTGAAAAGTTAATGACAAATATAATTGCATAGCTATAAAGTGTACAATGTGGTGATTTGATACACATATACATTGTGGAATGGCCCCCAAGATGAAGGCAATTAAGAGATCTATCACTCACATAGTTACTTTGGGCAGGGGAGGTGGTGAGAATGCTTAGGAGAACTCTCAGCAAATTTCAGGCTTTATTAACTGCAGTCACCATGCTATGCATTAGATTCTGAGAACTATATTACGACAGAAAGTTTGTACCCTTTGACCTACATCGACCCATTTCCCCTTCCCCCACCCTCTACAACCACCATTCTCGTCTCTGTTTCTATGAAATTAGGGGTTTTCATTACATTCCACAGATAAATGTCACCAAATACTAGAATTTGTATTTGTCTGGCTTCTTTCAGTTAGCACAATGCCCTCCAACTTCTTCCATGTTGTTGCAAATAGCAGGATTTTCTGTTATGACTCATGACTATTCCATGACACACACACACACATCACTTTTGACTTATTCATTCATCCAGTGAAGGAGATTTAGGTTGTTTCCAAATTTTGGTTATTGTGAATAATGCCACAAAGAGCATGGGAGTGCAGCTATCTCTCTGGAATATAGACTTCATTTTCTTTTTATAATAATATATTTCTGGGAGTGGGATCGCTGGATTAGATGATGAATCTATTTTTAATTTTTTAAGGGACCACTATACTGTTTTTCACAGTGGCTGTACCAATTTACATCCCCATAAACAGTGTTTAAGTTATCTTTTTTCTCTGCCTCCTTTTTAACATTTGTTATCTCTCATTTTTTTGAACAATAACCATCTTATGAGTTGTGGGATGATGTCTGATTGTGGTTTTAATTTGCATTTCCCTTATGATTATTGTTGTTGGTTTTCTTTTCATGTGCTTACTGGCCATTTAAATGTCTTCTTTGGGAAAATATTTATTGAGGTCTTTGCCCATTTTTTATTGGATTATTTGCTTTTTTGCTGTTGAGTTTATAAGTTCTTTATATATTTTGCATATTAGACCCTACCAGATAAATGGCTTGCAA